ATACCTCCTGACGTCCCCCATCTTAATCTAGACCGACTGTGTACCCTATCTGTGCCATACAGCAACACTCCTTAACAGTTTGATGCTACAAACCAGTAAGAACAGCAATTTAATTTTCTTGTTTCTGCTTTTTTTGCTAGATGTCTGGAACGTTGCTGTAGTACCCCCTTTTGTCAAAATCAAGAAAATAAATGTTAACATTAACAAATACATAAACACGGGACGATGGTTCTGAGAGGCGTCGTCAAGATAAACGCGAGCACCCCGACCATAGAATACCAAACATTCATGGAGGATTGGGAGGAAGGTTTTAATTTCAACCATGGTGTTGCCATAACACTGAAACGGCAACACAAGAGACTTCCTGAAAAGATACTGGAATACAGTCCCCATGTACGCAGGCTTCGAGACGACACCATGCCGTATGTGAGACAGATCGCTCATCTTCCCCGTGAGATGGCGAGGAGTTACTGGGAAAGAATCAAGAACGCCCGTCACCCTCAGGTACTTGGGCCCCACGTTATCAGGAACACAGAGGAAATGGAAGAGTATGTAGCAGGAACAGATAGAGGAAACTAAATACATTATCATATCTAACGTTATCACGAAAGAAGTCCTTTTCGTTTGGAGCCCGGCACTGGAGCAATCGGAGGCATTCGCGAAACACTATCAAATCTTTCAGTCCTGTTTCGAGAAGGATATACTTCCCAAAAAAAGTAAACTCTGGAAGCTATGGGGTGTGGGCGAGACTTCGGGTGGAGGTAACCCCACTGACGAAAGAACTTTTAAAAAACAAAAATCTGATCAGGGATCCGGTCGGGGAGGTTCGCACGATGTTACCCTAAACGGCTTCTCTGGAAGTTTCCATTTGTTCATAAAGAATAGCCGAAGCGAATTTTACAATGGTCACGACGACGCTCCGGATGACGACGTGTCAAGCCACTAAATACGAAGACGTCATTTCGGAACTCCAAAAAATGTTTGAAATCAAGTTTAACTTTGTGGACAGAGAATTAAAGTTACCCTCCGTGGTAGATTTCTTCGACCTCCATATTGAATGTCCGATGATACCGAAAAGCAGGGAAGAGTTCGACCCCGAAAAGTGCTTCAGGCATAACTTGCTACTGGCACACTATTACGGTGGACCATAGTTAACAAGTCCAAATGTGTTTCAACAGAAAAACGGAAAAAAGAGAATTAGGTTCAATTCAATTTTTGGAATGCGACGATGGATAAAATATTCTCAAGTATTGCACCCTGTGAAAAGGCCTCTACTAAACCACAGGATTACTTTCGATGGGGATGTTTTTTCTGATCAAACGAACAACACCTAGACTCAAAAAGCGTCACAAACGGAGCAAGGCTCGGTGGCACGTGATTTGGCCAAAAAATTACTTTTGTCGAATTTCATCCTAAGCCCCGCTGGTTGATTGAGTCACGCGTCCCTCCCCAGTTTGAAATGATAACTTTCACCGTGAAACCTGGCCCCACAGCAGTCACACTGCGCCTGAGAACCATGAATTAAAATATTGATGGATAACATACCAACATGGAAGTCGACACCGAGAATCCAGACCCACGCGCGAAGAAAAGATGCACTCGGAAGAGCGGTGTGGAACAAACGCTACGCGCAGAAGGCGATGAGGATTCAAGATCAACGAGACAGTCGTGTATATGTCTGGATCTCGAGAGGACTCTGGTGAAATATGTGATGCCAAAGTACATTCGGGACCGCCTCGAGACAATGTCCAGGTACACCGGGTCCTTCAGGTACATCGTTGGTTCATTCTCAAATTACGTCGTCATCAGGAGACTCGAATAGGGTCTGCAACCTCCTGGGGTCAAGAAGGTCTTCCACGATAGGTGTTGGGCCGCCATCAACATCCGCATATCCGGAAAGAACACGAGAAACAACTTCTCCAACCTAGTCGACGAGTTCATCGACCAATCCGGTTTCGACACATCTCTCTTCCCTCCCAGGGTCCCCTGTCGACTCCAAGAAACAGTCACGAGAGAAATGGAGGTATCTGCCAAGAACTCTATTGTCGTGCACCTGGAGGCCAGGATCAAGGGGTTCCTGAGGTTCAGGCTCATGAACGATTCCCAGTTGGCATTCCTACACCTCCCCGCGAAGGATCGATCGAGATTACCTTCTCTCTGTCAAACAACTGCCTGGAACGAGAGACGAGAGGAGACCTCGATCCCGGGTACGTACCCCACGTGCTACAAGTGAGGGACCTTCTCGCACAAGTTTACTCAACCGAACCGGACGTACCAGTGCTCAAGATCTTGAAGAAAAAGCCCCATCTGTTCCTCGAACTGATCAGCATGATCTCAAACGTTGCCGAGGAGGCGTCCGATAACAATAGGGCCCTCCGAGAGGAAACGAAGACGAGATCCGACGAGGAAANGCCGGAAGATAGTCGCTGACCGAGTTTATGCATACAACCTGACCGTCGTCGGTCCAGGGTGCGCTTCAGTGGTTTCTGTAAGGTCGTGTCCCCTGGAATTCTGCAGGTGTGTCGGGAGCGTTCGCGAGAAAAGCACGGACTGGGAAATGAAGGGAACCGAGTACTCCGTGAAGTCTGGTAGGACCATGCTGGAAGGGCGAGAGAAGAAGAGGAGGTCGAACGACGAGTACGGGCGGTGTTTCCCCAGATTTTCCGCGGTCAAGAAGAAGACAGCCAGAAAGTCGTCTTTTCTCGCGTACTGTCGTGTGGCGGCCAAAACGTTCAAGGTTATGTTCGCGGAAAAGATGAAGAGGGCAAGGAAGAGGTCGAGGTTTCACTCATCGAGGCTTGTACAGAAGACTGTTGACAAGCTGGCTTCGAACATAGCTGCGTGCCCTTCCGACCGCAAGAACATCGTTCTGTTCGGGAACGGGAGCTTCAGGGCGATGAAAGGGTACGCCTCCGCGCCTCGAAAGAAGCTCGTGAGGGCTATCTGTTCGAGGGTGAATGTGGGGATGTTGGACGAGTTCAGGACTTCCAAGATGTGCCCCGGGGGGTGTGGCGGGGAGATGACTGACGTTCAGGGTGGTCAGCGTGTGCGACAGTGTACAACTGTTTCCGTGGGCGTTGAAAATCCCTGTCCTCTTTTCGAAAACGGGGTGGCATTTAGGTGTGATAGGGATGCGAGTGCCACCCTGAGTTTTTGTCTCGCGGGATACTGTGGGTTAGTTCGCAAGTCGTGGCCAACTCATCTCCTGCGAGGCCAATAAGAGGACAGAAAGTAGTCCCTCTGGGACATGGCCGGTAGGTTGACGTAGATTGTAAGGCCAAGCCTCTCATTCACACGAGAGGTCTGTTTTCGGACGAGTGCGTTGGTTAGATCATTTTGGTCTTGTTCACTGTATTCCTCCGTCATAGGTAATTTCAGCCTCTACAATTCGTACATCAGCAACAAGTCACTGAAAGAGACGTTCAGTGAGCCACACCTACAAAGTATGACCATAACCGGGTCAAATGTTGACGAATTCGTTCAGCTTCTTACCGAGATTGCTATGTGGCGTTAACTTTTCCACATTTGGTCCTCGTGGTTCTTGTGGTTCCGCAGTGTCGTCAACTTAAGCATGTTATGTTTTCCATGATAAACCAAAATGTATTTTTATTTAAGAACTCTGGGTGAGTAGAGAGAGTACCCGGGAAGGTTACCCCGATCAGAGATCTGGAAAGGGATGTAAAAATCCTTTATTGCCTACAGATAGTTGACGACAACGTCGAGTCCCTAATTAATAGGGATAGACAGCGTTGGTGAACAATGTAGAGAGATCGTAACCAGTGTGGTGGCGTTTTGCACAGAGCACCGGGAGAGCGGCATGGTGAATGTCAGGTCCAAGCGTTGTGGCCGCAGCGGCTGCTCCACCTATCCGATGTTTGGCATAGAAGGCAGCCCGGCGGCGTTCCGTGGGACGCACAAGGAGAGCGGCATGGTGGATGTCCGCTCCATGCGTTGCCGCCGCAGTGGATGCGTTAAGCAGCCGTCCTTTGGTGTAGAAGGCAGCGCGGGGGCGTTTTGCACAGAGCACAAGAAGAGCGGCATGGTAAATGTCCGTTCCAAGCTTTGCGGCCGCAGTGGATGCGTCAAGCAGCCGTCCTTTGGTGTAGGAGGCAGCGCGGCGGCGTTTTGCACAGAGCACAAGAAGAGCGGCATGGTGAATGTCCGGCTCGTGGTGGTCAAGGGGTCGCTGAAAAGCCTTCGTCGCTTCAGGAGACAGGATTGGGTGCTGCTGGCGGTGGTGCCGACGGTGACAACCGAACTTCATCTTCTCCTCATGGCTTCAGCGATGACGACACTGAAAAAGTCGTCGTTCACACCAGCGACGGAGACATGAGTGTTTCTGATGGCGGCTGGTGCTCCATCGTTGGTAGCAACGACGGGGAGGGGCCCGACACGTCCGAATCGAGTTACTCCCCATCATCTGATTCGAGCTCAACCCGCTCGGACGACTTGTCGGAGATGTCCGTTGTTTCTTGCAATGGACAAGATGACCAAGCCCCGAGCATGGACAAACCTGTTGTGATGATGTTGGCTACGCCAGACCCAAATGATGCTGAGGGCGATTTTATATGTAGTAAAGTCAGGCAAAGGTATGAGAAGGCAGGCCACGCGCCTGATAAAAGTGAAGTATTCGAGGTCGTTTTCAAGGACGGATCTAAGACGGAGTATGGTCGCGAAGAAGTCTTGCTGTATAAGCAAACCTACGATGAGAATGAGGGAGAAAGGGGCTGCTTCGAGTTTTTTTTCGAGGTTTGATGCTACAAACCAGCAAGAAGAGTGCTCAACGTCTTTTCCTCCTCTTTCTACCCACGCCACTCTTTATGAGAGTGGTATCTAGTGCGGCTAAAGCTCGTGGTACCTTCCTTTTAGCTACCTTGTCGGCTGTTTGTTTGGCCGACGTGACGGCTTGACTTGCTTTTTTCACCCTCTTCACGGCCTTTTCGGCACTGTTATGCAGCGTGTCAGCCTTCCGCTTGGCGTTGTTGGAGGCCGTTTTTTTCTTCGAGGCCGCGGACTTGGCTGCTTTAGCCTTGGTCGTCGTGCGTGCGGTAGACGATGGGGTTCTCCTGGTCACGGATGTAGCCTTGGACGCCCTAGTTTTGGCAGAGACAGCTTATTTCTTCAGCAGCCTTGCCCGCGCAGCTGCCTCAACTGCCCTCCTTATGATGCTTTGCGCCGTTCGTTCTCCGCGATTTTTTCTTTGGCGGCGACGTCAGCATCTGCCTTTTTCATAGCCTGTTCTTTTGCAGCCAGGGCCGCTGCAGAATGCCTGGCTCCCATGATCTTGAGTGTTTTGGGTATGCTGTTTTTCTTGAGGACTTTGGACACGCCGCTACTCACTTTTTTCTTGTTGCTTGCAGTGGTCTTGCCCGAAGCTTTCATTTGTTGGTAGAAGTACTCACATATAGCTCTGTGGAAAAGAGCTTTTTTTTGCTTTGCACTTGCGTCCTTGGATTCTGCCTTGATCAAGTTCTCAAGAACCGGTTTGAAACTTGTTCGGTAAGTCATGGCAGCCTCTCCGATGGAAGTGAATACCTTTTTAATTGGTTCGAAGGAAGATGACCCATGCGTTCGGCGTGAGGCACTTTTTGCTGTCCTTCCTGATGTAGCACTTTTTGTGTTTTTTGCACGTGAGGGTCATATCTTTTTGCTATTACGTATGGAAAACAAAATAAATCGATTTTACCTCGCCTCAAACAACCATCGCTCATCTGTAGCGACGGCCCTCGCTCAGTGAAAATGTACTGGATACCCTCGAACACCCCGGAACCTGAGCGACCCGTAGGATCGGAAAGTACATCTGCTGTGTTGTGCAGCGGTTTTGAAGTCCTTCATTCGCCCCCTGTTCATTTTTGGAGCATCGTTTGCGATGTCGCATCACATACGCATGCCGGGTTGATGTATGCTGTTTGGAGTTCTCGCGCTTTTATTTTATTGGACTTTGTGTAACACACATTACACCCACCGAGCAACTCACTTTATCAACCGTGAGCACTCACCAAGTCCTCAATTTTTCGGAGATGGAACTCTATGACGTGGACGATAACAACATCGCTCTCCTTGGAACCGCCTGTCAGTGCCGCATTATTTCCAAAATCACCAAAGTAGCAATTGAACTCGGGTCGGGCAATTGTTTGTCTTACGGAACAGCACCACACACCGCCAGCGGCGCTCACAGCACGCACCGTGGTCATACAAATCGAACGAAAAAAACCCCGAGGTCAATCGGAGCACGTGGTGTTGAGAAAATGCCCAAAAACCGAAAAAGCACTCCGGCTGAAAAATGCCTCCATATTTTTCCAACAGTCCCGCCGCCTGACAGTTCCGTGACCGTCGCACGCCTGTGTCTGTGTCACACGCTCGTCCTGCCTCACACGACAACGGAAGCGAGCGGCGGAGCAGCGGGATCGGTTACCAGGGTGCTCGGGGGACTCTGTGCGAAAGGAAGGTGTGTGTACGGGTGTCTGTGCGTGTAGACGTGTGCACAGGTAGACGTGTGCGCGCGAGATGTGTGTGCTGCACAGCAGCTGCCGCGCCGCGCGCATGCTGGGCGTTTACACGCTTGTATGGGTCACAATACTTGCCCGCGCGCTGCGTGAACGCCTGCAAATCGTCCCTGTGGATGTGCCGGTGCCTTCTCGTGCAGAAAGTTATATTTTAGACGCGCCTATCGTGTTTGCTGTTTTCGCCTGCTCGGCGACCATGGGTAGGGCAACCCGGGAACGAGTTATATTTAGGGAAATTGACAAAATGGGGTCGACCCCGGGGTCTATTGGACAAAAAGGGGT